TGTGTAGAGAGGCTAACATAGTCCCCCGTACATGTTAAGCACTCAGTAAGTGGTGAATATTAATAAAATATTAATGGGCATTATTACTTTTTAAAATAAAATTTACAGTCTCCAGACCTATTGGCTATGCATGCTTGTGTGTTTTACACGCTCTAGCATGCAAGATGCAATCCCATCCCTAAAAGAGAGTGTTATCTACAGTGGAATGTTTCATGTCAGAAGTTTTAAAGTCAAAGCAAGGAAATAATTTTTCAACAGGTATTAGCTATAAAATCTATAGCAAACCAATTACGAACTTTATCAATTATTTCTTAGGCCAGAACACTTTGAGTCATCTTGATTAGATTAAAACGAAAAGGTAATCATCTCACAGTTCCAACGCCCACGGTTTCTTTTTAACGTAGAGTGAAAGGTTAGAGGAGAACCACACTGGGCTCTGATTGCACAGTGCTTTCTTTTGTGTCAGCATCATGAATAATGCCACTCTATTTCTTATCAAGAATGTCCTTTCTTTTCAGCTGTAATTCTAAAATTTTTTTTTTTTCAAAGATGGGGCACATATAATCAACTAAGTATTGTTGGCTGCTCTGGAAAAATCAGTCACTAGGAGAGGGATTGACTTTTTCAGCTTCTGTTGATGATTTCTTAGAGACGGAACCAGCATGTCAGATCATCTAAAGCACTTTTTCCACTTTATTTTTTGTGCTCTGTCCTGAGGTCAGGGAGGGAGGAAAATGGGAAGCCTAGCCAGGTGGGAGCCCACTGTTAACACTTCAATGGCATACTTCCACAACTTTCCAATCTCTTCTCTGTGTTAGTTTCCTGTAAGTTTTTATTTTAACAAGAGTATCTGCAGCTTTTAAATCAGTTCTTATCCTGTCATTTTAACTGATGTAAAAACTAAGGCTCTTAGTAAAGTGAAATATCCAAGGTTGCAGAGCAAAGTTAACAAAATTTCTGAGATGATCTAGGTTTTCTAGTCCTTATCCAGTGTACATTCTGCTGTGCTGGAAAGTGAAAAAATAATATAAAATTAAAAAGCTGATTCCACATTAGTCATATATTCACTTCAGTTGACTGTACTTGAAAAAAACCCACCTGTCTACACATGAGAGTCCATGGCTGACAAGCAGTATCATTTTCACGTTGTCTTCATGCGACAAATTAACTTGTAAAATACTAACATTTTTAAAATAAACCTCAAGCCGACAATAGGTGTACTGAATATTTTTTTTTCCCAAGTGTCTTTTGGAGTAGTTCCAAACAATATAATCTCTATCTTAGTGTTAGGAGAGCCCTTCCTGTTATCCCTTGCATTCTTCTATTTGTGTGTGGTGTTTCCTTATAGAATTTGCTTTTGATTAATTTCCCCCACTTTTCTTGCTCGTGCCTTTAGTTTTTCAGCTCTTCTTTTTTTCTTTTAAGCTTTATGTTGCTTCCTTGTTTATTTTTCTGCCAATAACTAAGTGATAACGTTTGTGAATTTAGTTACTCCTACATTTTCACCACCTTGCTTCTTGCATATCTGAAACTCTTCCAGTATCCTTCTTGTATTGAGAGACCCACAACCACCAGTTTTCCAAATAAAGCTGCACCAAAAAGATCTCCATTTGGGGACATTCTTTATTCTGCTTTCAAAAGGGTGTTGTGAGTCTCTGTGTTGTCTTGATCCATTGTGCCTACGTTTTTGTTACGCAAAACCACTAAGATCTTTTAAATCTATTTATTTCTAGTGCTTGGAATTAGATTTTTTCAAAAGATACATCTAATTAGAAGTCCTATTCTCTGTTAACATCAGCCTTTTTTAAAGACCAGTAGCGTTTATCTATATCCAATTTACTTTAACCACCAATCCTCATCTAGTGGCATCAGTTGACTTAATTAGCACATTCTCTACTTTGTCTTCCAGATTTTTTATAAAGATATTAAACAAAATGGGACCCAATATCGATCCTTGTGGGACCCAACTGGAAACCTCTCCCCAACTAGACGGACTACCAATTACGATTTCTCTCTGTATACGGTTAGATAGCCAGTTTTTAATCCATTTATTTGTATTTCTGTTGGAACCAATTTGTTTAGCTGTTCCCTTTAAAATAATGTATGGGGTCTTTGCAGATAACCTATGGACTTGTATCCTCAGAGACGTGGGGATAAGTTGCATGTTTTTGTGAGACTCTAATGAGGTTCTCCCGGGTGTGTTTTTTTAATATAGCTGTGATGAAACTAAGCTTCAGTGTTCCATTCACTCATTATTTTTGTGCTAGGTAAAAGAAACCGAGTGGACCATATTTTGAGATTCCTTTTCCTTTGTATTGAGAATATAGAGTGTCATTATATAGTACGACATTTCTTAGTTTTGTTGTTGTGTTTCTTTTGGTTAGTGAAATAGGTGGAGAATTATACATTTCTTCTACTGGTTGGCTCAGAATTCAGGAACCTATATTTTCTGTTCTAGATTATTAATTTTGTGTCTAAGAATGTCATGTTTGCATCAAGTCCTTGTTGCTTTATTGTTGTTTATTTTACAAATAAGTATTACCTCGGTAGGCCCAGCACTATTATAATGATAGTTAAGAGGCAATAATTGAGATTGTTCCTTATCAAAACTCTTGATTTAAATGAACTCCAAAGAAAGCCTATTTTTGGCTGATACTTAAGGTTTAGTTTCTGAATCCTCATGTGTTTTCAATTCTTAATTGGCAAATTGTCATTCACATTCCCCTCCAAATTGGAAGACAAGGAGGAGGAGATGAGAATTGTCGTCATTCCACCTTATCATCATTACTTGTCCAGCTCAAGTTGTTTTTTGTTTCTTTGTTTGTTTGTTTTCTATTTCTTGGTGATATTGAGTGCTTGTGAATCTTTCCTGTGAGGACTTGATGCCAGATGAGCTGTCATTATTATATCTTCTAAGTATTATGCTCTTCCTTAATTTTATTGCTCTGACCCCAAATTCCTTGGTACCTCATTTTTATTGCCTTTGGGGTAAGGGAGAAGTATGGTTAACATATTAAATTGCTACTTTGTTTTGGTATTTTAAGTTACTTTTTAACTTCATTACTTGTCCTGTCATATATTGTAAGAGTCTGTTAAATGGTATTAGGTAGATTTCAGGAGAAGAGATGTTTGAAACTTTATTAATCACTATTTTAGTCCTTATCCCCTAAACATCCAGCCTCTACTATGTCTGTTCTCTCAGACTATCTCGTTGGTGGTGTTGCTGTTGTTCGAGTTTTCAACTCTAGCTGCTCTTGTTCAAATTGAATAGAATGATTTGATTGGGCAGTATTCTGGGTAGAATGCTAATCATTTAGAAGCAAACACGTTTGACAATTGGAGTCTGGGTTTATGATGAAAGCAGTTGAAGAATGTTGTATTTTTCAAAACTAAAATCAAAATATACTGATTGGTCTAATGAATGGGTAAAGTTACATGAAAATTCAGGAGAATCCTCAGATTATGAGGATATTTTAAAGAAATTTGCTTCTTTGGTGCATTAAATTTTTTAGTTGATGGCTTGATAGAGATAATGATATTCTTTGATGCCATAATTTAGACCCTTATTTGTCAAAACTCTCTATTTCATAACACTTTATGTTAAAGAGAATGTTCAATGATTTACATTGAAATATGAGTCTTAATGTCTTCTGCTTTTATACTTTTCTTTGTTGAGTATGTCTTTATTCTGTCCTTTGACTTCTCTCTTAAGTTCATATGTAGAGTATGAAATAAGGACTGGTATTCAAAAGTTCGAAAAATGAGCTGTTAAACCTGTAACCTGTAAAAGTACCAAGATGGATGTGACAATTCTCAGGGGCAGTGGGGTGCTCTGGGAAGATGGTGGCTTTTAGAATGAGACTGAACTGGGTTCACATTCAGGCATGGTCTTTTATGAGCTGTGTGACGCTGGATATGTTTAACCTTTTCATCCTTCAAGTTCCTCAGCTGAAAGCTGAAACACTAATTTCTGCCTCCTATTACTGCTGAGAGGATTAAATGAGACAATTATTAAGGGCCTTATACAGTACCAGACAAAGAGCACTCAATAAATAGTTGCTATTATTCTGGAGATGGTAGCAGGGAGTGTGTATCTTTCTCAGTTTTTCTTTCTTTAGCTCTGTTACTATTTTTCTGATTATAAAACTGATACATGATCATTCTTTTAAAAAAAAAGGCGAATGAAAACCACCTGCACCCCCACACCCAGATATAGTCACTGTTGACATTGCCTTTTGTTCACACTTAGTGATATACTTTTATATAAATAATTATACTCTACTCTTGTTGATACTACTATTCTCCACTTAGGTTTTTGTATCTTTAAGTATGTATCATTTCTAATAGCTACAAGATATTTTATTGAATGTAGGTACCATAATTTATGTAACGAGCACTTATTATTAGATATTTGCATTGTTTCTAAGTGGTTTTCCATTATAAACAATTCTAAAATAAGCACTGCATTGCTGACATGTTTGCACACCATTGATTCTTGATATATATATCAAAACGGTATTTCTGGGTCAGAAAGTATGTGCCTTTAAAATGATGATAGATATTGCCAAGTTGTTCCCTGCAAAAGTTCTGCTAGGCTTTACATACCTACTACACTGTATGAAGGCATGGCAGTACACACATACACACACAAACACACACACACACACACACACACAAATATCACCCAGTCCTTGAAATGACAAAGAAATAGAAAACTGATGTCTAACTGTGTCCAACTGTGAAAAGTGTTAGAGAAGTAGAGATAGAAGAATCCCAAAAACCCATGGGCAATTTTCCTCCCCTCCATCCAAAGCCATAGAGAGTAAAACAGCAATAGAAAAATAAAACAAAAGCAATCAACACCCAACTCAAACTGAAGCTCTGCAGAGAGGCAGAGATGCATAAGCAGGGCCAATATTAGTGTAAGCGGGGTCCAGAGAAATCTACCCAAGCTGCGTATGAGCAAATGGGAAAACCCTGTAGAAACGTTTACATCAAGATGAAGCATCTTAACAAAGAAACAGCACAGCAACTGTGCAGGAAAACTACCATATGGCTCTGTCTCTTTCTCTCTCATTTGGTGGAGAGAGGAACTCGGGATGCAGAAGACAGATAATGACTCTTTTATTGGGGGGAAAAAAATGAATACGTTAGGATAAATTAAAATTTTTCATAACAAAGGTCTTTTTCTCACCGAAATTTAAAGAGGATATGAAACAAAAGATCAAAGAAGAGATGATAAACAAGAGGCCAAGAGATGATTAAAAAGGCAAAAATGAAGGTGAAGCAATCTTTATAGAAACTGATAACTGAACCTAAAACAGTAAGAAGGAGAATAAGTGTGGCAATAATCAAGGCAGTAACACATAGTTCAGGCTGTAGAAAGTCATGCCAAATGCAGAGGAAAGGAGATGTCGAGATAAAAACCACTTAGAGAAAACATAATAAGTACACAGGACAGATACAGTAGAGTAAACATGCAGAACCATGATATTAGTGAGGTACAGAATGAAAAAAATGAAAAAGAAAAAAATACTTGACTGATGTCAATAACTAATTATAATAATGATAATAAATACTCTTGAATGCCTTCTATGTGCGTACACTTTACATATATTATGGCATCATGTAAATCCTTATTATTACCCTATGTTGTAGTAATTACAATTTTACAGATGATGAACTGAGACACAGAGAGCATAATTAACTTGCTTAAAGTTGGACAACTAAGAAATGGTTGAACAGAATATAGGACTAGAGGTCACACCCTTAACTACTATGCTGTATATGTTTATACATACCTGTGATGAAATGAATCAGTAGGCCAAGAGATATACTAGGTTCCAAGCTAAAAATTATACAATCTCATTACCATCTTATTATATCCTTAATATATCCTTATTATTAAACTTCCAGTCAGAAAAAGTGAAGGATTTTCAAGGAAGAAAAAAAGAAAAGAAAAAGATAGGTCTCAAACTACTCCATAGTAATATAAAACTTTATAAGACAATGGAAAAATGGTACAGGGTTCTGAGCGGAAGAACATATAACCCAAGAATATTATTATTGATATATAAAAACAGAAGAAAGACAATCTATTCTCAATATGCAAGGTCTTAGGGAACACAGCATGCATGAGTCCTTATTTTTTTTTTTTAAATAATAGCTTTATAAAAAAATTTAGCCCCCAACAAAAGGTCATCAAAGTGAGGAACTTTTGAATAGGAAAAGCCAGTATGCTAGCATTTAGAACTTAAGACAGCATGTGGAACTAAAACTATATGACTTCAGAAATTAAAGTTACAGAATAAAAGATAATTGAAATATTTTTGGGGGCTGGCCCAGTGGTGTAGCGGTTAAATGCACGTGCTCCACTGCTGGCGGCACAGGTTCAGATCCCTGGCGCATACTGATGCACCGCTTGTCAGGCCATGCTGTGGTGGCATCGCATATAAAATAGAGGAAAATGGGCACAGATGTTAGCCCATGGCCAGTCTTCCTCAGCAAAAAGAGGAGGATTGGCATGGATGTTAGCTCAGGGCTGATCTTCTTCACACACACACACAAAAAAAGATAATTGAAATATTTTTAAAAGCTGGATACTAAAGGTATATAAAAAGAATAAATCAGGATGCATATTGTTGTGGAGGGACAGTGTTTGTTTTCTAATTCATAGCAAGGACTCAATATTTACTCTAATTTTTAGAGTTTATGAATCAAGAAGTTGAAGATTAAGGATATGTTTAAAATTAGCATAGATAACTACTATGACAGTGTTTCTCAAAGGGTCTACCATAGACTGCCTGCATTAGGGTCATCTGGGATGCTTGCTTAAAAAGTAAATTCTACCTGAGACGTTATAAGTCAAAATCTTTAGTGGGAACACTGAGGAGCCTACATTTTTCTCTCTCAGATCTTTGAGGTGTACATAAACCATGAAAATCTAGGATCGTTATGGTAGAAGAATCAAAAACTGACAATTAATCTTATAAAAACTTTTGATAAGAAGAAGGAAACAAAGTA